GGCAGCCCCCGCCGCCGCCACGTGAGGGTGACCCGCTCCGTTAGGAGTCCGGGTCGGCCATCTTTACACAGGGCAACCTCCTTCGGCGGGCGGCCGGGCAAGGTGGGGTGGGAGCCTGGCGCCGCCATCTTTGTGCGGGGCAGTGCTCACGTGAGCCAGCGGAGACGCTCCGCGCCGCCATCTTTGTGCGGGGCGCGTACCGCAGGCCGGTGTCGCCGCGGCCGGTGGGCGTCTGCCTGTCCGTGTGAGGTAGCGGCGGAGTCTTCTCCGCGGCCTTCTCCGCCACGGCGGCCTTCTACACCGCCGCATCTCGGGCGGGGGAGCGCTGCCCGCCCGCCCGGCAGGGCCGCTGTCCCTGGAGGCTGGGATTCGCCATCGGTGTGAGCCGTGCCCAGGCTTAGCTCCGGATTCCGCGCACCCTGCGTCCTCCCGGCCGCTCCGGTAAGAGGCGGAGAGTCCCGCTGGCGGTGGGGAAGGCGGGTGGGGTCCGGTCCGGTGTCCGTGAGGGCAGGAGAGGAGCGCGGCGGGCGGTGTCCCCGGCCGGTCTCAAAGTCCAGGGCGGCTCGGCCCGCCGGGCGTGTTGGCACGGTGATGGCCGCCGCCGGCGGGAGCCGTCTGGGCGGGCGGGGAGCCGCGGTCCCGGAGGGCTGGGTGGGGGCCCGGGGGCGGTGCGTGGGCTGCCGCCCCCGCCGAGGTGCGGGGCGATGGGCCGGGGTGCCCGGGCCGCTCACTCCGGGTCAGGGCGGTCGGCGGGCAGGGAGGGTCCGCCCGCCTGCTGGGGGCGGCCGGGGAGCCGCCACGAACGTTGGCCACAGACGTGTTGACCGCCCCAAATATCCGCCAGCGTCGGAGCCGTGCGGGGACGGTGTTGCGGGTACGAAGAGATTCCTGAAACCCAGTAATTTACCTGTAAGTTACTGTTCGTTCCCTGAGGTACCTACACGCTTAGATCATCGCGTACGAGGGGTGAAATAGAGTGGAGGAAAAAAGCCTGGTGTTACACCTAGTGGAAAATCACTGTAGGCTCGGGCAAAGCCTGGGTTGGGAAAATCCTCTTAAGAAACATAAGGGTCAGCTAATGGGTTTCAGAGTTAGGATTTAGGGCGGTGGAAGAAAGAAATGAATGGAGAGGCTACATACCTTAAAAGGCAATATAAAGATGAAACATGGCCAACCCTGTAAGAGGATATACCCTCAAGCATTTTTTTAAAATGTCATTTCTCTTTAGAAACAATGCTTCCTGACAGCAAAAAAAAAATAAAATCTAATGGAAGTGACTTAAAATAGTGTATCTCAGTTGAATGGATAGTTCTTGGTGCCTGAAGAGAAGGATCCGGTATATTTCGTCACCGTACTGAGTATACTTTTGTCATTTACTGGGAAAATAACTGGTTTTGTTCTAAATAGATGAAGTAATTTTTCTACCAAAGTTAATCCTGGTGTTGTCATTTTTTCAAGAAAACGGGATGCTCGTGTTT